CACTGTAACATAACTTGCAGTGGCTTGGGCACAGACCTCCAGGTGTTCCTGCTTCTCCCCCATGGCTTAGCTTGGCTTTGTTCCTCCCCACCTCCACAGTGTTTCATGGAGGCAACCAAATTGTTTTCAGTTAGGGAAGTAAAGTCTTGGAACCGTATTGCTCTGTAATGGTATTTCTTTGGTGTAAAATGCATTGAGTTTTCTGAGGTATGTAATTCTCATTCACCTTCTTACGGAAAACCTTAGAGAACCGAAAAATTTGTAAACTCTAAAACTGTCATGCATCCATCTGATACAGTAACTGCTACAGTCTACACCATGGGCAGAAATGTCAGCAATGTCAGCAGAAATGAGTAGTCATTCTCATACTTACTTCAGGTGAGAACTGCCACATTAATCACTCAGACCTGTTCCTCCACATGATTTAGGAACAGTGGCCATATATCTTTAAGTTTCAAAAAGTGAGTTTTGCATGAATGGTTGTATTTTCCTTACAAATCAGCATTTGATTGCTTGACTGCCCCTCCCTTTCTGGGTGATATCTCCTCCAAAGAATGAAGCCTATTAATTTACTTATTTCATGGTGTCAGGAAACCTGATGGTTTGTAGATCCAGCAGGTAGGAGTTAGCTTGGTTAAAAAGTTGCTTACTCCTTGAGCTACAGAGGATTAAAAAAATGATTAAAAAAAAAAAAATCCTGGGGTAATGAAAGCTGCAACAGAAAGAAAAAGGAAGGAAAAGAGTTTAAGATAAACCAATGATAAATACAGAAAGAGTAAATATATGCTCTTCTGCATGTGGTTAGTTTTTATTTCAGTTTCATTTCTCCTTGCTCTTTAACAGAACCTTTTCCACGTCACTCTAACTGCTTATTTGGGAATAGGGTGCTTTAGCATTGAAAAGTCTGCAGTGTCTCCATTGGCTATAACAAGAAGGACTGGATTTTTCATTTGCCTTGGCTGTAGAGCTGCGGGCAATTGGCTTTTGCTAGCTATGTAGCTGTAAGGTGCTCTGTGTCTTCATTAGCCTTAGCAGGGCCTGCAAACAAGTTGGTTCCCTTGTTGGCTTTCTCAGACTTGTTTTCTGTTTGCCTTCTCAGCTCTAAAGTCACAGACTAATATTTGTTGGTGTTCCTCTGAGCTAAGGGATTATCTGCATATGTATTTGTATCAGATGACTTAAAAGTGGTTTCTGTATGGGCCTGTTGTTTTAAATGTATGTTAGAATATAGTTTAAGTTAAACTTCCTCCTCATTGCTTAAACTAAACTGAAAGAAGGTTACCTAAAACTGCTTGGCAGGGGAAGGAATTAAAAGGCATTAAGTCTGTCACTCTAAAGAATGTTGGCAGTATGGGCCTCTTCTGGTTGTCCTCTTAGGGCTTTCCTGGTGCCTGGTTTGTATGAGGACAGTTGTATGGTATTAACCAAAAGGTGTAGCTACCGTAATATTTCTGCCTCCAAGACAACGAATTAAGTAATGATTTAGGCAACGTGTGCTTAAAAAAAAAAAAAAAAGAAAAAAGGGGTAAATTTAAATGACACCCCCATTTGCATTTTCAGGATTTTCTGACTCCAAAGAGGCTGTAGAGCCTATGAATGGATTAGTAATTAGTAATCTTCCACAAATCTGCCTAGTTTCCCTGGAGCCCATATAAACATTTAACTTCTTGTGGCAGGTCATTCCACTGAGTGGCACTCCTCTAGTGGAGAAACAAACTTTTCTTTGTTTGTTCTGAACTTGTTTCCTGCTAGCTTCAACTATTTTCCACCCTTTCCCTGGTGGTTATACTTTTATAATCTCTGTTATATCCCTGAGGTCAGACTGAGGAGTTCTAATTTACTTAGTTGTTTATTGCTACACTTTTGCTAGGGTTTCTTCTCCACTAAATCTTCAACTCAAAGGTTTGCATCTGGAGGGGAGAGGAGACAATGACTTCAGGCTCACCTTAGAAGTGAACATAAAGTTACCTAAGTCATTAGATGGATACTGTAGCCACTTGCTCTCTCTTTGTTGGTCACATACATTATCACTTCAGTAATGGTGAATATAAGGAGAGAGAAGCAGTTTTCATCCAAATGGCCGTAAACTGATGTAGTGATGTGTGTTTTTTCTCTGGTTGTTCTGGTTCCACTCCCCAACCCCAAGTGGCACCAGTAAAACATGAATCCATCAGTTATGTGTCCATATGGCCATATTCATATGAAGTGGTAATAGTTTAAATGCTAGTGCCACAAAAAAGTAAGAGCTGCTCAGTTTCAATGGAAACCCATCCCATTTAGAGTGAACACACGGGCACAGGAGGTGTGTGCACTGAATGGTGTGAGGCAAATGCTAAGAAGAAAGGTCCAGAATAATTTAGATGGCTTACTATTGCAGGCCTGAAGGCATGCCTTTCTTGGTGCGTCAAGCTTTAGCACATGCTGCAAGAAATAAGGCAGTTGTATGAGTAAGGAATGGGGAGAGTGAGAGTGAAAAACATTGGCAGGCGGAGGCTGTTGCTACAGAAGCATGGAACGTTTATGCAGAGGAGTTTGTGTGCTGTTGTCTGTCTGAAATGGTCTCTGCTCTGTCTCACAAAGCAAGTGATTCATTGCCTTTTTTTTTGCTTGGGGTGGGGCAGTAATTAATTTCCTGGATTGCTAAAAATAAAGGCGAACTGTGACTGAAATATTAATCTTTAAAAGAAAAAAAGGCAAAAAAGCTTATGTCTCATGTAAGTAATTGAACTTTTATTCAGAATGGATTTATACTATGGATATGAATAATAAATGCATTTCTTTAAATAATGAATAACTTATGCCACAATCTATTTTTACTTAATCAGTTATCTATTTATTCCTAACAGATGTTCCTGTGCACAATATGATGAGTTTTCTTTTCCTACTGCTATTCATTCTCTTGCTATGTGGTTTTCTTTCTTGACTCATCATCTTCTGTGGAATGCCAACCCATCTTCTATAAAAATATCAACATGAAAAATAATAACCTGTTGGGTCTTGTGATTTGAAAGTATTGGACTTACACCAAAAAAATCAGTTGCTTATCTACTAATATAACCAGCAGGAGGGGACTGGCAAGATATCAGGTCTTGCTGCTAATCTGCTCTTTGTAATAAGCTGGAACTGTTGTACCATGTGTTCTGGCAAATTGGTGGTGTTGGATGATAATACACATTTTTCATACTATGCAAATATAATTTGTATTTGTGAGTTTTACTTTTTTGAGGAATTTCAATCAGGTTGTAAAACAGGTTAGCAGGGGAGAACCATGAATTTCTTGAATGCCTATCCTGCATTCCTTGTCCTAGCAACAGTCTGCACTGGTGACTCAGTGATTCCTACTGCAGAGGTGTGCAGTGACTTCTTGCAGAACAGTCCTGTGACTGTTTTCTCCAAGAGGTTTTATGCAGGAAGAGGACAGCCCTATCTAAGAAAGCATTCTGAGGGTTATTGCTTCTCTTGACTTGAGAAATGCTGTCTTCTGGTGCTTGTGGGTCTTCTAGTGGGAGATGACTGGAAGGTAAAAATTTAGCTTAGGTGACTGGAGACTGCCACACAAAAGAGGTAGCAAACCTTGTTAGATGACTATCAGATAGCTATGGGATAGCTGTGCTGCTGGATGTTGCTGTGTACCTGTGGGTTTTGGGGTAGCATGTTAGGTGTAATGTGTTCAAAGAGTTGTGGGGAAAGTACACACAAGCATCCCGGTAGACAGATGCTAGCCAGTGTACCATCACCCCCGTGCTCCGCAAGGCCTGGCCATTATTATGGGGCAAAGGGTCTTGAGGGCTGTGAGGGGCAAGGGCTGCCTCAACAAGGTCTCTCTGGACAAACGCCACCGATGCCACCTTGGCGGGCTGAAGAGCTGTTCCCCGTGGCTGCTCTCGGTGAAGGACTGTGTGCCAAGTCGAAGCAGGCAGGCCCTCCCAGCAACACTAGTAGTTCCTCGGGAAAGGCAGTAGCCCTGGCACGGATCCACCTCTATGTACTGCAGAGAGCGCACTTCAAACACTCATCCCCACATGGGGGAGAACGCCCATTTAAACTCTCCTAAAATGCGCCTTGGGTGCGGCCGCCATAGGCCAGCTGCGGAGCCGGTACCTTGCGGCGCCTTTTGCCTCGCCATCCCCCCGAGAGGCGCTGGGCTCCCCCGGCCCTTTCTTGTTCCCTCCACCCCCCGGTTTCGCTCCCCCTGCAGCACCGCACCCGGAGGCCGCCACAGCCCGAGCCGCCGCTGCTTCCGCTGCGCCTAACCACGCTTTCCCCACCCGCCCCACAGGCGCCTGGCGCGGCAGCCACCACCGCCCCTAGCCACCCGGCCCCGCCCGCCAACGTAGGTCCCGCCTGTCCGCAGGACCCCTCTCCGCTACCGGGGCTGCCCCCCGTGCGCCTGCCGGGCCGCGACACCCTCGCCCGGCTCCCCGCTAGAGGATGCGGCGTTTCCCACCGCTCCCGCCTTTTGGCTCCGGGCGGCGGCGCCTCACGCCGGCCGGGCGGCGGCTCGGTGCGGCGGGCGCTGGTAGGCAGTATACAGGGCGGCCCCGGCTGGCTGGGGTCCTGCGCGGCGGCGGCGGGGCGGGCGGATCGGTGTCTCCTTCACTTCGCCCTCCAGTGCCAGCGGCAGCAGCAGCGCGGCCTCCTCACGGCGAGACCCGCCTTCGCCCCCGGCCCCGCCGCCCTCCCGCGCTAGCCAGGTGCAGGCTCCGGCCGCGACCGGTGCCGCGGGAGCAGGGGAGGCGGGCGGGGCTCGCCCGTATGCGAGCGGGCCTGTAGGTGGCAAGCGGGGTTGGGGGACGCGTGGAGTCCGGAGTGGCGGGGCCGGAGGCGCCTTCCGCAGCGCCCAGGCTAGCGGTGTGGCCGCCGGGGCGGGGTTTGTGTGTGTTTCTCCGCACGCGTTGTCTCCATCCGCCTCCCCGCATGGCCTCCACAGGCGCCGCACCCTCCTCGGCGTGCTGTCCGGGCCGTGTTACATAAGGGGCGGCGGGAAAGGCGCGGCGGGCGGGGGTCAGGCCGGGATGCCCAAGATGGCCGCGTGGAGGAGTTCACCTTGCAGCGGCAGCGGGCGCCGCTCGTCTTGGCGGCGGGCCTGGCAGTGGCGGTGGCGGGCCCGGGCGCGGGGGAGAAGCTGGCGCTGGGCGCAGCCGCCCGGGCCCTGCCCTTGGGGGGTGCACCTCTGTCCCATGCGTGCCGGCCTGTCTTTCCGCATCCCCTTTTCGGTGCCCTTCTCTGGTGGGAGGCTCTGCTCCGCCCCGCTTTCGATTTCTGAACGTGTTTAATTTCCTTTCGCTTTTCCGTGGAAGCTCTAAGTTGGCCTAGCCGTGGCTGCTAGACCAGTGTGTCCGCCTCCGAGGTACAAGAATGGAGTTGAAGCAAGGGCAGTGAGGTGGTTTTTTTTTTTTGTTTAAGCCCTGATAGCAGTGTGAGTCTAAAGGTTAGCGTGTGTCCGGTGTATTGGAGCAAAGAAATTTTTGATTAATACCGGTTTCTCTGTTGCGATTTACACTGTTGAATACAATTTAAGTGCAGTTATTGCTATTTTTCTTCATTGCATGAGTACGCTAGGGTTTTTTTTTTTAATTATAGCCTGATCTGGCCTGTATCCTGGTCTTCAATATTCAAAATTGCTAGAAATCCTCATAGAAGTCCTTGGCATTCGTTTAGTTACAGGGCACGAGAAGTTTTGAAATACTGCCCCTAAGGAAAACGGTGATGTAATAATTTTGATAGCAGTAAAACAGTTTTCTGTTCTTGAGATGTTTGGGGTTTCTTTACCTTTTTTTGCAGAAGATAAAAGGCTCTGAAGTAACAGATCAGTTAAGGTTTTTTTCTTTTTTTAAGGGTGGCATGAAACAAAGATCAGGGTGGAGCTCCCACTTGATTTTAAAATGAGGAATAAGAGTATCTGATAGTTGTTTTCACAGCAAAGCTCTTGTTAAATTGTACTTGTATTTGAGTTACTTTTATTGAGTAGTTTCTGACTGAAAGACACTTCAGAATAAGAGCTGAAGAAAATTACTTCTTATTATAAGAATTTACAAACCTAGTTAACTTGCCAGTATTAGAGGATGCAGGGATGATTTTTTTTTTTGGCCCTGTTTTCATTTAATGGACATTCTCATGATGGCAATGCTTATCAGGTAATTAGTACACCCCAAATTAACTCCATGTTTCCCTTTTGTCCATCCCTGTTGGTATGGGATTAGAATAGCAGTGTGACAGTTGTACTCTTTTTTAACTTTTTAGTGTAAAACTGGGATATGTAGGCTGGAATATTTGACAAATACTGGTTGGATTCCTTGTGATGGGAGGGGTGCTTAACTAGGCCAGATAAAATGGCAGCACCCTTATTACTGTAGTAATCCTTTGCACTTAGACACAGATACCGGTTTGTTAACTTCTCTCAGGACATTACTGCTTATCATGTCTTCTCTGTAATGGTTGTCTAGTCAGATTTGAGACATTGAAAACAGAAGTGAACAGCTCATTTATTTATACTGTAGAAGCATGTCTGTGGTAAAGGCTAGTATAAAACTTCAAAATCAGAAATAATTATTCTTCTGAAGATGTTAGTTAGAAGTAAGACCTATTCATTAAAGGAAAGATGCATAGCTAAACTTTCTCTAAGTTAAAGTGCTTATGAATTGTACAGTTGCTGTGTAGTGGAAATTTAGAGGGCAAAGAGAAGCGTTCCCACTTTCTTGTAATTTGGTCTACCACCTGCTTCTTTTTATTGAATAAGTAATAGGAACCATTTAATGTCTTGTCACCAGGATTAGTGTCTGTTTTGCTATAGATATTTTGTTTTTCTCAAGATGTATATAGTTATAGACTTGAATTTGGGCCAAGTCTTTTAATCTTCAGATGCTCTAAGTCGTTCTTATATCTTTTTTTTGTTTTAAGAGACAATTTACTTTAACTATGGAAAACAAGACTTATGTTCTTAAAGGATGTCTTGCTATAGTGACATGGTCGTAGAGTTTAGAATTCCTTACCAAAGAAGGGTTTTTCAAAAATAGTTAAGCTGTGAATGTAAATGTTTTTCCTTGAAGGTGGTTGAAGTTATTCTCTTATGGTTTAGGGTTGTGGAGTAAGGTACTCTGGAAGACTGCATTGCAAATTGTAGAAAGATCAAAAAGTCTTGTGCCTTGCCTTTGCTTGCTAGAAAAGTTTGGGTGTTTTTTTTTTAAATAGTAGCAGCTAACACAATGAGGCTGCCTATGGCAGGTGTAATTATTTCTGTTTGTATGTGTGTGTTGTTTTTCTTCAATGTGGATGCTGATCTGAAACAAGTGTCTAGTGGAATGGTGCCCTAAAGGAAATTTTTCTGATTTGGATGTTCCAGTAAAGTTTTTCCCATGAAAATGGGAAGAAACTTTTTGAGAGGAAACTTGAGAGTATTGCATTTGTTATTTTTGAGGTTCTAAAGATATTTTTCCATTTACTTAAAAAAATCTGACAAAAATGATAGTTATGTTAATCTGACTTTCTCCACAAAACAAATGTGACTAATCAGTTCAAAAAGATAAGAGATGATTTTTTTGTGTGTGTTTAGGCTTTGCTCTTATCTAGTTAGTTTCCTTGTCCATGTGTCACCCCCACACCCTCTCTACACAGCATGGGGGAAGTTACTAATTCTTAAAAATGTGCAGTTTTCTGTTCTTTTGCACTGTAACAGTGGCCTTTTGCTATTGAAATCTTGGGGTAACAGTTACCCAAAGGAAGGTACAGATAGAGTGTATCTTCACAGGGAGGAGAACCATACATGCCCATGTAGGCTGCTATCTGTCCATTGAGCCAGGGAGGCTGGGTCATAGCTGGTCTTGAATGACAGGTTCTTTAACAGCAAGATTGCCAGAGGCTCCTTGTCTTAGAAAAGGACTTCTAAAGAGTGCTTTTCTCACTGACCCAGCACTCCTACTACTTGCTTGTTTTAAGCTAACAAGACAGCCCCCCAGATTTCAGCTGCTGTATATTCTAGGGAGGGAGGAAACTTTGAGAGACTGATTGCTAGTTAATGGTACTAGATGTTCCCTTTTAATTTGTACGTCTGCTATTTGGAATACAAGGCAAACGGTGTTGCAGAACAGATACGCACTCTTGTTACATTTTGAAAATAAACCCTTGTAGGTCCTTACGGCTAATTTTCATAGGCATCTGTCAAATTTGACTGTGTGGCACAAGGACAGTTTGCAAATTTCCTGGTTTTTGGTGGTCACTTCCAACTCTGGAAACATGAGCTGTTAGTTGATTTCTGATAATTAAAGATGTATGGAGAAATCTACTCGGAAACTTAAGGATTGGGTGATCTTGTAATGCCTCTTCTGTACAAGCAGATTACTTAAGCCAAGAAAAACCCTGTTCACAGTGACCATCACTGTGAAAATCTATACATGTTTCAGAGAATACTGTAATTGCTTGAGCTTTCTGTATGTTAAATGCCTTCATATATGAATCTGCCTTAAAGAGTATCTTTAAAGAGTTGTGGTAGCATTTTTTGTGCCTGCGCAGTGATAAAAGGTTCACTACTAATTAGCCCATTACCTTTCAGCTCCAATGGCGATTCCTCCGTCATATGTAGACCTTGGCAAATCTGCCAGAGATATCTTCAATAAAGGATATGGTAAGAATAGTACCTTTTATAAAACGTGGCGTTTGTGGTGCAGCAATGAATTGCCTTTTTAAACCTATATGTGAAATTGAATGTTTGAATGCCTGAGTTTCTGGGAAGGGGGAGGCAGTGGTGTTCTTAGTATCATTACTGTCAACTAACAGATCATTGGTGTTTTTTTGTGGGCTGCTCTGGTGTGAAGTCTGTTAAATATTACTGCATTAGCTACATAAATGTCAGAGGTGTACAGGCCTGCAAGAATGTAAGTGTCAAGTGTAATTAAACTTAGGAGTACATTTTGTTTACCATCTGTCTGAGCCACAACATTTGTTGCTACAGAAAGGGGTACACACCGTTGCAACGCTAGCCTTTTTTGGAATAGAAAGAGGAATAGCTATTGGGATTAAGGATCCTTCAACGTTTTCAAATGTTTTAATACCAGGCAGTTGCATAAATAAATTCTGCTTTGTTACAGTGCTGTTTCTTTCTGGTCTTTGGGAAGGCATGTGGGGGCTTTCACACCAAGACTGTCCCTCAGCTCAGAGGGCAGCAATATGAATTGATATTCCCATAAAGCCTACTTATATTACAGTTCCAATGGCTGTGTATTTCCCAGTGACTTCACTTTTACAGCTGTTTTTTTTTTTTTTTATTTTGAGATATTTATTCTTGGTGCTGAGAGAGGAATTTTATGTATTGGAGTAGCTCTTCCAATGGTATTGACTACAAAGCTGATGCCATCCCAGAAGCAGCAAAGAATGCATTTTGTCTGTCACTAAATTTACTTTTGGAAGTCACTGGTAGTTAAATATGCAGTGTACGACTGAGAGGTGACTATCTGCTTTATGTAATGATAGCAGAACAGAACTCCTGGCTTGTTCGACAGTAGCTTTCTCTACCCACTGTGGCATCTAAAACTTAAGAGTGTTACTGAAGTCAGTCTGTGGTTGGTTTTATGTATGTGTGTCATAGCAGTCACACTGCTAAGACTGCTTGGAAACCAGCTTCTTGGAAAATGTGCATGGTCTTAAAGCCTTTTGGTGTAACTTTGACTTCTGTTTGTTAAGGTTTTGGGTTGGTGAAACTGGATGTGAAAACAAAATCTGCAAGCGGAGTGGTGAGTTTAAATACCTCTTAATAATTCTGTTTTTTTTTTTTTAATATGTTCTGGTATTCAATTAGAAAGGATACCTTCCAGATGCTGTTAGTAGTTTATAGATTATGTAATTTATACATAAATTATAAATAAATCTTGGTGTAAAATCATTTCAGAAGCCCCTAAAGATCTGAATGTATTCTGCATAAGGTTTATTATTTGTCCCTTATGTCTGAAGGTAAACAAATAGCTGACAAATATATGAAGTATGTTAATATAGCAGTGATTGTACACATAACTTATTTCTAAAGTATCTTGTAATACTATTTATGTTAGGAAATTTCTGTCATCTTCATGCTTGTGTGAAGTAGTTGGCAGTGAATTAGCATGTTGAATCTTTTGTTCCTCTTTAAAGATGTTAGTTTTGTAGTAACGGTCATACAAGGTGTCTTCGTCATCCAAGCAGTGATTCCTGTAACTTTTTTACAGAACTTGCAGGATGTAAAGGTTGATTTTTAGGGGAGTTTATATGTCTGGAAGCGTTAACAGTGTAACTGGCTGTTAGAAATAAGGTGCGTGGGTTATGTGGTGTGGTGGTGTGTTTTTTGTTTTTTTTTTTTTCCAGAAGTCTGTATCCCAACTGAAACAGTTTGCAAGACCTCTATGTAGTTGTTCTTATTTTACCTTACTTCTTTTGAGGACTACCAGTAATACTGATAAACCTCTGAAAAATCTAAGCCTTTGTGTGAATTCCGTATCAGTTATAAGCCATAGGAGTAATTGCTGGCATGTATACACCACAAATGAGATAAGAGATAACGTAATAATTAGCTGCTCCTGAAGCTATTACCACAAGGGTTGCAGCCACATATACCTGTGCAGTAGAAATAGCACAAGGCAAGAAATTAAAGCTGAAGCTATTAGGACTTGAATTTGTGTAGTCCCTGTCACTTGCCCGGTTATAGACCTTACCAGAATTATGCAACTGTGTGGATGGTTTTAGAGGTTCACTAACATGATAGAAGTAAATGTCTTGGCCATGATTAAATTTGATCAGCCACTATTAAAGAGCAGTCTCGTCCATGCTTGCGAGGTGCCGTATGTCTTGGGCTGTGAGAATATGAATGTTTAAGGAGTTGTAACTTCAAACCCGTATTTCCTTCTGGGGGAGGTGAGTGTGAGGAGTTGAAAATAATACTGTGTCTGGAGGAAGTTGGAGATAAAATTTTGATTTATATGTTTTAAGAAATTAAAAAAAATTCTTAAATCATAAGGGCAATAATATTTCAGTGGGAATTGCTCTTTAACATGCATTTGCAAAACAAATTGCACTTTTGCTAGTTATTGCCTTTAGTTTCTGAATAATTACTTGTTCTTTGTGAGAATCGAATAGAGACATTGCAGACTACTTAAACAGGGAGATGAGAGTGATACTGCTAGCTTTTATCTACTTTCAAGAATTCCAAGTAAGACTGTATACTTACTTCATAATTCAAATATGAATGTTCTTCCTGTGTGTCATTAAACCAAAGTGTCATGGGAATAGGAGTTTGATAGCTGCTAGTAAAAACACATGTGCCTATGGCTTGTGTGAAATGAGTGGTGCATCAGTTAGACTGAGAAGTCTTATAAAGCAACAAAAATCCCCAACAACCAGTCCACCACCCCCAATTTGAAAAATAATGGCATTCTATGACATTGTACAGTTGTACATAATTTATCTTTGAAGATGTTTGACTGGAATAATGGAAATACATATGTGACCTTCAAGGAATTTTACTGGAGTTGCATTATATGCCTTATAGTGTTTCTGGATCTTGGTTTGATGTTTAACTTGCTCCTTAGGAGTATCAACTTAACCTTATATTTCAAGAACTTGTTTCTGCTTTCAGGCAGACTCCTGTCTTGCTTCTGAGTTACGTTGCAACCCTGTACATTTTGTAATAGTGGCAGAAACTGCAGTGTGATGGGAAGTGGGGACAGGACTCCATGTGGCATGAGTTGTCGAGTTTTTGTCCATGTTGTTTCCCCTTCTCCCTCCTCAAGTTGCCTAATGTTCTTAAACTTGTAGCATAGAATAAGATTATCTTGGTATTTCTAAAGGAAAGTCATTTCCCTTTTGGCACTGTGCAGGGCTTTAAGGATCACATTAATCTTCTGTATAACATGAACACTGTCCTTTTTAGGAATTCACAACATCTGGTTCATCGAACACAGACACTGGAAAAGTGAATGGGAGCTTGGAGACCAAATACAAGTGGGCTGAGTATGGGCTGACTTTCACAGAAAAATGGAACACAGATAACACTCTGGGAACAGAAATTGCAATTGAAGATCAGGTAATAGATTAGGAGAGTATTTATTTGGTTTTTGTAACTAGCAGAACTAAATTTATAGCTCTGTCTTCTCCCCCTTCAATTAGATTGCCAAAGGCTTGAAGTTGACATTTGATACAACTTTTTCACCAAATACAGGGTAAGAATTGTTTAACCGTTTAACCTTATTTAGGGCTGTAACAACAGTCTGTCAGTGTTCATTTGGTCTGTTGTAATGACAGAAATGTTTGTATGGTTTGCTGTTGATCCAAATTAGCAAATCCCAATGATAAGGCTTCTGCTCTTGAGCATCACATCTTATTCTACAGAGTTAGTACTGGACATTTCACAGCAGCGCACTTTGTTTATTTTCTGTGATAGAAATATTTGTAAGATTGCAGGAGGTATGAAAACACCTCTGCATCCATACAAAATGCTTGTTTGCAGTAGCCCTGTGCTTTCTTGATGGCCTAGCTGTGCTTTGGCTCAGTCTAGAAGATGAATGTGGATGTGTATACATTGTGTAGAGTCATATGGCTCAAATTTGGCAGTTTAAGAAAGATCATACCTTAAGATAATTGTTTCTCTGTTTCAGAAAGAAAAGTGGTAAAATTAAGTCAGCTTTTAAACGTGAATGCCTAAACCTAGGTTGTGATGTTGACTTTGATTTTGCTGGACCTGCAATCCATGGTTCAGCTGTCTTCGGTTATGAAGGCTGGCTCGCTGGTTATCAGATGACTTTTGATAGTGCCAAATCAAAATTGACAAGAAATAACTTTTCTGTGGGTTACAAGACTGGAGACTTCCAACTGCATACTAATGTGTAAGTACTGACAATTGTGTCCAGATTTACAGAAGCAGGCTTTCTCTACTTTTCTTTCTTTTCCTTATAGTTAAAATACAAATGTTTGAAATACAAACAGGTGCTTGCAAGGCCATTAGGTGGAGTTCATTTTTCAATAGGAAACTAAATAAATGGTAAACTGGTTACTTTGTATCTCTCTCTTTCAAAACAATAAGTACCTGCCGCTTGTTAGCACTTACCGCATGATGTACAGCTTGCCAAATACTGAAGTACATCCAGATTGGAAGTGTAATAGCAGAGCTGATCATAATGCTTTTTCCAGCTTTCCCATTACATTGAGTTATATCTGACTAAGGGCAGTATATTTGTTAGAGGTAGTAATTAGTGGTGCACTGTGTAAATAGGCCAATAGTAGTTCCTGGAGCAGGACTAGAACTTGGTTTTCGGGCTTTTCAAGTAGATTCATCTTCTTGTGTGTCTGGGATGAAAAGTGCATTAAACAATGTAACTAAACAATTATAAGTCATCTTGTTTATAAACTTTCTTCAGACTTGCCACGTTCAGATCTTTAATGTTCCTCTGAGAAAGGTGATCAAAATCTACTGAATAACATGTTGTTTTCAATCCAAGTCAATTAAAATTGTCATGTTTCTAGTGTGTTTAGTTAGGAAGTGACATGATTTTTGAGGTAGAAGTTTGTCCTTTCGGAGGTGGAGTACGGGCATTGTGTGTCTCTGAGCTTTTGGAAGTCGAGTATGGCAAGAAGCTGCAAAACACTAGTGTGGACTAAATTCAATTTCAGTTTACTAATGTCAAATATCATAACAGGTATTTTTAAAAAGGTCATCTTATTCCTTAGGAATTTCGTATGTGTTCAATAACCATGCAGTTCAGAATGCCCATTTCTTAACTATTAACATTTATCCGTTAGTTTTTTAAGAATGTGATTTGAAATTACATTCAAGCACTTAATTCAGCATTAGTGCAAGAATTAGCTGTAGCACTCTGAAATACCTTTTTCTTCCATGAATTATTGCAGGTTAATTTTTCACTTAAGCCTTTGTTTGTCTCCTCTTCACTTGTTGAAAAATGTGAAACAACTGAGACTTTCAGAATTCACATGTAAATAAAAATTTCAAGTGGTTAAAAAAAGTTGGAGTTATGTAAATACAGGAAACTTAACTTTTTGCTTAATTTGGCAGCAATGATGGTTCAGAATTTGGTGGGTCAATTTACCAAAAAGTGAGTGACAGTCTTGAAACAGCTGTAAACCTGGCTTGGACAGCAGGTAGCAACAGCACTCGCTTTGGCATTGCAGCTAAATACAAGTTGGATTCCACTGCTTCTATCTCTGTAAGTATTGATCTAACCAGAAAGGTTACATTAAACATGATGCGCTTTCAGTTTCTGCAGATCTGTGTGTTAGTATAAAAGGAGGTAATAGGTCAGGAAGCTGCATAGGAATTACTCTTGCACTTCAGACAGTTATAATAAAATGTAATGCAATACAATAAATTTAAAACCAATATAACTTTTATTTAAATAAAGGTTTAATGTATTTAAAGTCTGTATTGCTGCATACAGCAAAGTCTTTTAGAATCTGTCAGATGTGCTACCCTAGAGAACTTAATGTATTTTAAAAAAATTGGAAAAAAGAACCCCAAAACCCTTCATGTCTAGTTCTGTAACTTCATGTAGTTTTTTTAAAACTAGTTTTGGGGAAGCTTTGTCATGTTCTGTGCAGGAACTCTGGTGATACTCGTTAAAAAGATGATATATATAGAGTTTTCTGTATGTTACAAAGTTAGAATTGAACCTGGTTTGTTGGAGTCATCCTGTACAGGAAGTAATGCAAAGTAAGATAAATAATTTTGCACATATTGTTTATGCTGATACTATGAAATGTTTGCTGCTTGACTGATTGGACCTGCAAGATGCCAATTCTTTTGTAATAATACAAATGTGGAGGATTCTTCTGAAGTGGTTTGTTTTGGGACACTCTGGTAATAAATTGCTGTGGTCTTCTGAAACGCGGGGAGTGGGAATGGTCTCCTGCCAAACTACATTCTGGTAACAGTTCTCCCAACCCTTATGTTCTGTCTGCTCTTAAATATGTTACTTCAGCTGTAAGCTGAGGGGCAAGGGCATAGCTGGGAGGAGAGAATCCAGTAAGCATAGAGACATTGAAAGCGCAAGTAAAGTTTGATTGAGTTGATAATGACAGTGTTGCTATAGTTATTCTAGCTTCTGAATGACGATAAAAAACTAATCAGTTACAGCATTTCAGTTGCTTTGTTGTTTATGTTGTTTTGTTTTGCTTTTTTTTTTTCAGGCAAAAGTGAACAATTCTAGTCTAGTTGGAGTGGGTTACACCCAGACCCTGAGGCCAGGTAAGGGTCATTCCATGAATTATGTCGTATACTTAACTTTTATTCATCACAAAGAAAATCTTTGGGATCTATGCATTCATATGCAACTGTTTCCCTCTTCAGAATAATTTTGTCTTGAAGGCAAAGTAAATGTGTTATAGTAGCTTATCTTGCGTGTCAAACCTTTAGCTAAGCAAGACAAATTCTGTTGCATCTGGTGGTGTTTCTGCAACATAGTGTATTGAATGATACCAGGTCTTGAAATAATCATTAGTTGCCAAAAGATGACACTTCCTGCTCTTTGTATTTAGTAAACCCTCCATAACTTAACTTCTTCTGATTAAATATGAAAACACCTGCTAATGCTATATTACTATTGGTTAACTCTTTATTTGAAAAACAATAAAAATCATAGTTTCATTCCATCCCTTCCTTGGTGCAAGTGTCTTTCTATGCATGATTTTTCTCCTTTGCACACCTTGATGTGGAGTAGAGGTCTTGTACTTATCAATTAGAGACTGTATGTCTGCTTTATAACATCTACAGAAAACATACAGCGTGATTCACATGAGTAGCTTTAAATAGGTTTAATGGGTAAATTTCTGTAGAAGTCTTTTGAGAAAAGTAATGGAATAGGAAAATAGTTACAACTGGGACTTGCAGTTATGGAGGTTGAGTTGCATGAAAGCTACTCTGATTATATGTTGTAAACATGCTGTTTAAAAAATCTTACAGGTGTGAAGCTTACACTGTCTGCCCTGATAGATGGAAAGAGCATCAACGCTGGTGGCCATAAACTTGGTCTTGGCCTGGAACTGGAGGCTTAAAAAAGGTGAAGAAACTGCTTCAGAGAAGGGATATCAGAAGAATTTGGCCTTAAAATGTATTTCCAATGTGACCAGCAGGCTTTTCTTTATTTCCACCACCCCCCCCCCCCACCCAAGAAGGATGACCTAGAACAAGAGCTGTATTTGAAGTATTTAGACAGTTACTTGTTAGCTGGTTTCTAGTTAAATTGGTTACCCGTCTAGTTAAAATTCTGCATTAGTGCAGTCACTTAAACATTATTTAAATGTATTTAACTGTTTAATGCGCTACCCACAAATAATGAAATAGACATCTATGGAAACCGTACAATTGTGTGTGCATGTTTGTTTTTATGTTCCTTTTAACATTTGATATTGCCATTGAATGAAAAATGGATCAGCGGATGTTTTGAAATGAGGTCAACAATTTTGTTTAATCACCTGAAGAAGAAATACGTTCGGTATCCCAAGACAAATTATGAATAAAGTGAGTACACACACATATTTGTGCCTCAGATATTTTAAGAGTTAAGATATAAGGGTAGTGCTGAGTTAAGTTTTAAGTTTTAACTTGAAATAATCCAAGAAGTTGTGCTCTGTACCTTTGTGCAATTAAGGACCCACACCCATGACAACACCTAATATAGATGGTTTTCATTGAACAGTTGGATTCCTCAAGCAAGTTGAATGTGTTTTTCTGTTGGTAAGATTTGTCATGACACAACTGTTTCATTCCCCCTGTGTTCCATGGGCAAGATTTCCTGTAGTACTAGTTGGCCTCTTGATGCAAAGAGTGCAAAGTGATATACTTGACACACTGAGATTTTAAGAACTGCTCCCTGATGCTGTTGACTGAGGGGTGAAAAACCTCACCACAAACACACCTTTTGCTTATATTCGTATGAAGTGAGACATATCTCTGCAACTGAATGTAACAGTGTAATGGTATTACAGCCTACTTATGCCAACTGCTGTGAGAGGTTTCTGCTTAAAATGACTGAAATAAAGGCTTCATTTTAAATGGAGATGGCAGAAAATGCATCCAGTTTTGCTTTCCTGTTGTCAACTACATCTTGGCAGATACTCATTTTAAGGTGAGAAACATGCCCGATAATGGTAAAACTCATCTTTTTCCAGGAAGGATTAAGAAAGAAGTATATGGGATAGTTGGTCTGTGAGCATAGTGTCTTTTAAGGTCAAATGTAACTAGCTGTGAATGCTTTTAACATGGAATATACATGTAAGAATGGGGCTTTATTGAGTTCAGGGGAGTGCCTGGAGCCTAATTCTTACAGTCTGTTATACCTGGGAAAATACTTAGTCTTGCAGTCTGCAGTTCACAGCATCTTCCTTTATAGGGCAGGTGGCTGGTTTATGATCAGGAAGCTTTATCTCCCGTTTGCAAGGTGTGTTCAGTTCATACTGAATTAGACTTCACCTGTTAGAAGTCTTGGTGATTTGCTGGAGGTCTTGAGTCATACTGCATTCTTGATTTAAGTACTCTGTTGTAAACTGTCCATGTTTAGGCTTTAGCTGTGGAAAAGCTGAGCCACCTTTGCAGAAGATAGAGTGGAGTTTAAGCTACCAGCTCAGGCTCTTGGGCAGGCTTGCTAGTCTGACTAGTTTTGTAATACGACTGTGACATAAGGTTTGACAGCCTTTGAGCTTGGGAGTTACTTTACTGCTCTCACTGTCTTTGTCTGAGGAGCACTTCCACCGCTTGGTGATGGAAGAGGAATGTAAGGTGCAATTCAGTGCACTCGTACTGCATGGTAACATTTGTGAACTGTACTTTTGAATTGTTTTCATGTACTAGACCTCTTAAAGCCTAGTGACTGTGCAGCCAAGCGTTTGACTTTTAGTGTGGGTTCTCCTTTTAGTATAACTGGTTTTGTTGCTTCACAGTGTTTCCAGGCTTCTTCTCTTCAACTCTTCATACATATTTGTAATAGAAAGCTTTAACCTATTCATTTTGCTCTGTTCCTATGTGCATCACTTTACTAGTCCTCACCCTATAAACCTTAATTAATTTGTCATAATGCTGATAGGCAACTGGAGAAATGAAAGGGCTCTGCAGTAGTTAAGACAACTGTGGAAATGCGATTTTTTTTCTAAAATATTCTGTCATAAATCACTACTTTGAGCATGAAAAGGAAAATCAGTGGCTATCTCTTGTCGTCTCTCAAGTGCGGCTTATAAAAATGGCTTTCAGACTTTCAAGTGTGTTAGAGAAGCCATGGTGTAATTGGAGTTTTGTGGCAAGGAGTGTCGGTAGTTTTAAATAGGTCCATTTTGTTAGAACATGTAAAAAGCCTTAATAATAGCTTTTAAGTGCTAGCCAGCCTTTTGTCAGGTGTCATTCTGAATACAACAAAAAAACTTGAGTTAACCAATGACCTGAGCATGGCTGTGCGTCTTGTTTGTGTGAACTGTAGCATTGCATTCCTGCCTGGTGCAGCTGGAGTAGGCGCTGTCTGTGTGCGTATCACAAGGAGAATTAATCATGCTTTCACAGATAAAAATCCTTTCATGTGAGATCATGGTCTGCTGCACTTGAGCACCTGTGTTCTCATTGTGGTGTCGGAATTCTCCAGGTTGTTTCAGTTAACCTTGCACTCTTCACGTGGTTCAGCTTGGTGTGGTATATTCTTAAATCTGCCTCTTGCACAGTGGTTTTTCAAAACCAGGACATTTGTTCGGAGCCGTTTTGGAATGGCCATGGAAACTTCGCCCCTCAGCACCATGGCAGAAGTTCTTTATCGCTGGGATAAAGCTAGGCGGTAATAGAGTGTGCTTACTGCCCTCTAATGTCCTGTTCTGGTGTTTGGCTTGTTTTGGCAATAGTCCGTTTCCTGGGCACAAAGATGCATTTAAATCTACAGTAACTGTGCTTCCGTGGGAAGTAGAACCTAGCAAACAGAAGGCAGCCCATGCATGGGTGATTCAGCATGGTTTATGTTAAAGGTCCTTGTTTCCTTATGGTACCACTCAGCACAGATGAAAGTAATTCTACGCAAGGTAAGCCACTAATGATGACAAATGCTGGGTCACGCCTGCTGCAGTAGTGTCTTAATGGCAGGTACAAATGCTTCCTGTGTACTGGCAGAGAGGGAAAACCCCCCCAGAAAGCTGGTGTGGTTGTTATGTGGGGCCCCATTTGTTGCAAACGGTGTTGTATTTGTCAGCCTCCCTTTGCAGTGGAGTATTTCTCTTCCTCATCTGGAACAGAAATAAAAACAGATTATATCAATCACTGTAGTCTGTACTCATTGTATCTTAGTTACATCTTCCTTCTCATGATTGTTTCTGGACCTGCCTTTTAGCTGTCCATTGTATTCATCTTTCCACATGCTTCTGGGTCAAATGGGAAGTAATGAAACTACTGGATGAGTAGTAGTGTGAGTGTAACATACGGCATCTTCTGTAGCTGTGAGTTTAATACTGATGCTCATATAAAAAAGGCAGTCTTTTTGTGCAGCAGTTTTTGAAAAATAATACGCAGTTGAAATTCAAAAATGCCATTAGATGTGGGGTGTTATGCACAGATTTGGTTTAAGTCTACACTCATTTACCTACTGGGGTTGGGAAGAGTGCTGACAGGCCTTTAGAGATAGCAAGCAGGCAGAATGCTTCAGATCCAAGTATTTGACCTTTACTGCAGCCCATGTTTTTGAATGAGAATTTTCTTCTGAAACCAGCACCATGGCAATACCTGCAGTACACCTTATGCTGGTTAACGAGCAAACATCAGAACTGTGTCAAGGCTTTGCGGGTGTTTTCATGGGATGTCTGTGGGGGAAGATCCTAATGCTAATTGATTTTGTTTAGTGATTTTGCATTGTTAACAACTCAGTACCATTTTTGTTTACTTTGCCTATGCTCCTATGAGCTCCTAAGGCCAGGCTGGTTTAGTGTGAGGTGTACCTGCCCATGGCAGTGGGGTTGGAACGAGATGATCTTGCATGTCCCATACAACCCAGGCCATGCTGTGACTGTTAAATGCTACATGGCTGTTACACAGACCTTGCTTAATCTTGGTGTCCTTTATAGGGCTGGTTTGGGTGTGCTGGTGTGAGTCAGCCACAAGTGCCCAGCCTTGCAGCTGTGCCTAGGGGCAGCTGGGGTGGCTGAGGGAGGAGGCAGCTAGTGAGGAACCAGCGAGCTTTGTCCTTGGATGTTTTACTGACCCGTGGTGACCCAACACTCCTTAACTGAACCTTCACTTGGTGCTCATAACTTCTTGAGTAAGAAATCGTGAGTTTTGCTAAGCTGTGTTTGGGGCTTGGCTCTCACCTGGAGGGTGGTGGTGGTGGTGGTGGTGGTGGTTTTCTCTGCGTAGATGTGACCGCGCTGTTTGCCCTTGCAGCTGCTCAAAGAGCATTCCTGTAAGGTCCTACTCCTAGTGCCCGTGTCCGTAACTGCCTCCGCAGCGGCTGCAATGCCCGGCTGTGTCGCACCGTCGCTACTCGGAGGCCCGGGAGCATCTTGGTGGGGGGGGCATCGAGCGGCAGCCCCGCGCCGCCCGCCCAGCCGCGGGACAACGGCGCCACCTCGTGGCCGCTGGCGTACTCTCACCCGTCTCAAGGGAGCCGCATGTAACTAACGCGGGTGTTTCTCGGGTACCTCTGCTTAGCTCACCGGCAGAGAGAAATCAGCGGGGAAATAAATGCGTCAAGGCTAATTCATTCTAAGGCTGATTCTGGGCTATAGGAATAGAACTCGAGGAGGAGAAACACTGCGTATGTTGGAATTTGAGTGCCCTCCTGCCTCGTGTCAGAGAGCCAGGCAGCGCCTGTCGGCCTCTAAAGGAGCAGTTGGTCCTGTTCTCTACATTTGGCTGCCAATAGAGACTCTAAACAAAATTAATTAATACAGCAGGTTATCTTCTCGACTGCTGCTGTGCTCCTGGCCTGGCAATACCATTATAGAAATCTCCAAACGCTTCGAGATACCGGGATTTTTAAAGAGATGTTCTGGCCTCCCTCAGTTTTGCAGAGTGCTTGCTGACAGGACAACAGGGCATACCAGCTGCAGAAAAACAGAAGACAAAGGGGAAGGATGCAAAATGTTGCCTCACTTGTGGACCTCCCATGTCTGATGGCATCAGGTACTGTGGTGAGGCTGGACCAACTGTATGGCTGTAGCCCAGGTGTCTTCCACTGCTACAGTCTAGGTAGTTCACAGACTCTTCCCTCATCTTTGCAATTAATTTGAGTCCCAGTCAGGCAATTGGAGTATGAGGACAGGGATGAGAGCCCAGCAAGTCTGCTCAGGGCCTGTCCCATGGGGATACTGTGGTGAAGCACAGGTACCCTTTTGCTTGCTTAAGCTGCTGGTGCTGTGGGGCACTGGCCTCCCCTGGGAAGCAGTAGCAGGGTAGTCAGCACTGCTGTAAGCAGTGGCTGTACCACCCTCCCCTTCACACGGAAGGGCTGTTAACAGCTGTTGTGCATGATATTTCAGTGGAAGGTGGGGAGTGGGGACAACTTTTGTTCACAGACAGACAAGGTTTTGTCTTTCCTAGACAAAACCAGAACGCTAGTGTGTCAATGATGCCAGGCAATGAGCCATGTGGCTGGCACTGCTGCCCTGAGCTCCCCACTGCCTGCTCCTGGAGGGTGCCTTAATGTGTCCTGCTCCCCTCTTTGGGAAGTTTGAGATCCTCAGGGCAGTAGAAGGGTTGATGAGGATGATCAGGAGACTGGAGCACCTCCCGGTGAAGACAGGAGGAGAAAGCTGGCGCTGTTCAGCCTGGAGAAGAGAAGGCTGCGTGGAGACCTCATAGCAGCCTTCCAGTATCTGAAGGAGGGCTATAGGGATGCTGGGGATGGACTGTGCATTAGGGACTGTAGTGACAGGACAAGGGGTAACGGGTTAAAACTTAAACAGGGGAAGTTTAGATTGGATATAAGGAAGAAGTTCTTTACTGTAAGGGTGGTGAGGCACTGGAATGGGTTGCCCAGGGAGGTTGTGAATGTTCCATCCCTGGCAGTGCTCAAGGCCAGGCTGAACAGAGCCTTGGGTGACACAGTTTAGTGTGAGGTGTCCCTGCCCATGGCAGGGGGGTTGGAATGAGATGATCTTAAGGTCCTTTCCAACCCTAACTATTCTATGATTTTTGTTGGTCTTTTGGGGTCTCATGTCTCTGACCAAGCAGACAAGCAAACACCTCTTTGCCACGTGCATTGAGCCCCTCAGGTGCTGCGCATGGGAGGAGTGCATGCACTACCAAGTGCCCCAGCAAGGGGCTGGGCCCAAGCCCAGGCCAGTTTTACAGTTCTAGGGATTTTTAACTTGCTATGTTTGGTGGGTAACAATTGATCATGGGAATCACCTGTTGTCATTTTCACTTCTCTAATTAGCACCATGTGCTTTGGGGAGCAGAGCAAGGAGTGTTTCTGGCTTCCCTTGTTGGAGATGCTTGATGTGTGTCCTTTAACCTGGAGAAAACCTGCCCACAGTGAAGGAGGGTATAGTTGTATTTGCTGCAGTAAGGATGCAGGCTGCTCGTTGTTGTGCTTGGGAGGTTCACCAGTTGGGCTGAATGGAATCAGCTCTGACAGACATCCCCACGATGTGACAAGTGAGGTGGTGGCCCTCCAGCTGCAGAGTCTTTGTTGGCAGAAATGGCACCAACTGAGTGGGCAACTCCAGTGCTTCAGAAATCAATGCCTTATTAAGTGTTTCAGTGAGCGGCAACTCACAAATACCTCCCCAGGGTAGGTACTGTGATTTAGCGTGGGTGTATTGCAGGCTCTGTAACAGAAGGCTGATCCTCCACCATATTTAAGGAGATACTTTATTTTGCTTTACTTTTTTTGAAGTTCCTTGGGAAATCTGGTGCAGCATTCAGTCCTGGTGCAAGACTGGTGAGCCTCCAGGTGAGACCTAACACTTTGTAGCAAAGGTCCTCTTTGCATTTACCGTACATCAGCATGCCCTTGAAATTGTGTGCAGCATACTCGTGCAGCCTGAAGCTTACTTGGTTTATCATGCTCATCACAAGGCAAGTCCATGAGCACGTGTATATGTTGGAGTCCTGGTAGGTCTTCCTTCCCAGCCAGTGCAACCCAACTAACACACTTTCTGCTTCAAAATTTCTCTCCCTCACGGCTGTCTAAACAGTTGTTTCAAAGTCCCATTTCGTACCCTTCTGTGGGAAGCTGTGGCAGAGGGGTGTACCACACATTCCCACCCCAGTCATCCATCAGCAGCCTCTCTCAGAGGTGCAGTTCCTCCTAACTCACAGCACACTCCCATCCCAAGAGGAATGCCATGGAGTTCGGCATTTGCTCTGGGTTCTCCCTGTGTTTGGCAAAGCATCACTCACTGCTGAGCACAGAGTGAGGTGCTCTGCAGGAAGCATGAGCCCACTGCCTTGCAAGGCTTTTGTGTTAGGTTTATCCAGTTTCGTCCTGAAATTAGGGATTTCTTGAATTAAAAATATGGAGTGTCACTGTAAGACTCATGCTTAGTTTGGTGTGGTGGGGTGCAGAGCTGACCCTTGCATGCTGGCCGTACTGCAGAGACTGATTGTATTGGTGTTTGTTGCAAGCTGGTACGTGCCTGCCTTGGCTGCACGAGCCGAGTTGCCTGCACAGCAGCAAATGCATACCCAGCATGCAGGGTTTTGGGTACAAAGACCTCAGCCTGGCTGACAGCAAGGGAGAGAAGGAAAGAGAAGCATTCAAAGTGCAAACTTTCCAGGAAAAGACAGGCTTTAATTTTAATGCTTTCCTCCACTGGATAACTCTTGTGTTGTCCAGGAATACCCACTCCTACCTCTTCTGTTTTTCTTCCCTTCTACTTGATAGCCTTTGATCCATTGGAGGAAAAGTACAGGGAGTTAGCTAAAATGACTTTGTGTTGCTGTAGCTGTTAGAGTTCAATTTTCTTTTCTGTAGATGAAGTAAGATAAACACAAAGTGCAAAGAAAAGATAATTAAACATAGAAAAGGCACTTACAGCTTCTGCTGGTGATTTCCTAATTTCATCCACCTCTTTCTCCAGAGAAACATGACCATGGCATAAGGCTGCTTGGCCCTTTTGAGATCTAGGAATCCTCTGCTGGAACAGCCTGTGTAAAGCCAGCTATTTACCTGTTTATAGGTTCTCAGTTTATTAGCCTGAAGGCAAAAGAAGTAAAATGAGACTTAATAAGGTCAGGAAGGAGCACGTAAGAGGTAGAAGGCAGAAATCATAAAATCTGTATCATAATGCCTATATGTAATAAGGATGGTCAAAATTAAGATTGCTTGTGCAAATTAAATTAATCTTTTGTAACCTTCTGCGTGCTTAGCTTTGCAGTTTTAATCATGTGTCTATAATGCAGTTTGTGGAGGTGACCATAAATGGTTCCCAAGTTCAGCAGGCAGACCCAACTGCAAGCCTGAACTTTTTGTTAGGAGTTTACCATGTTGTAGCAAATGGCTGAGGGTACCCAGACAAGACTTGCCTAGCAGGTGGTTTCTGTGCCTGAGCACTTGCAAAGTTCCAGTAAGGAAAACCATCATTGTGGTATGCAGAAGTGAGCAAGGAGCCAAAAGCCTTAGCCTGCCTTAGAATGACTGTCAGTTTATGTCTGGTACATGTCTGGTAGTTTAAATATACACTTAAAGTTAAGCTTGAGCTAAAGGTTATCACCCACATACTTGGTATGTGAGTTGTTATGCTGAAAATCAGAAAAGCAAAAGTTAGTAGCACCCATCAAAGTAACCAAAGATGCATGAGAGGGGAGTATAATGGGCTTTGTGGTACCTGGGATGCTTTCTGTAACCAGAAGGAATTTTGGGGCCCCAGCTCTCTGGGTGTTGATTAAATGTGTCTCTGCTTTTCTCTCTTTCAAGGTAGTCTTCACTGATAGCTTGGATCAGCCTCAGATTGCGAGGATAGGTCTGACCCCACGCAGCAGCCCTTGATGGGGGGCAAGGTTGCTCAGCTACAGTGCTGTGGCCCAAGCTCTCAGCAGGGCACCTTACTGGCTCCTTCTTGGTGACCCCCATGACCTAAGGAGAGGGACTGCTGCCTGTTGGTGGGAATAGTTCCCAGGAAATGACTGTGCCTAAAACCCACAACAGCTGTGGGAAGACCCAGAGGTGCTATATAAGCTGACTCTATACATATGTGGAGAAACTGTGGTTTCTTGTAAAGGAACCGCTGTGTTGGGAGTTCGACCTAGTGAGAATTGTTTTGCGATTGCACTTGGTTAGTGAATTAATGCTCCTTGGCAGTGGGGATGACTTTGAGGCTCACTGGAATATGGTCTAGCTCTGCTGTTCAAAGGAAACCAAGGAGGGCCCTGCAATTTGTTTTAGGTTGTATTAATCTCTTTGTTATAATATATGATGTCACAGTAGTTGCACAATTAACTGTGGCTTTCTGTTTCAGAGTGACCCCAGTAATTACTCTACATTGAAAAGATGGATTAAGTGTCTGGGAGAGCATTTTATAGCAGCTGACATTTAAAGGCTAGAGGACATTGAAGGTGACACTGCAGAAGTGGCATACCAATACCTTGCTGATGTGCCCAGGAGTCTGAGGAGACATTGTTGGGTGGAAGCACCTGAGGGTTGGATGCTTTGTTACCTCTGACAGTGCAGCTGGACCTTGTCAGAGGTGGAGGCTGACATGAGACAGAGCATTGTGGAGCTCTCGCTGCCTCTTCTGTGTCCCCACAAAGCCCTCATGGCACTGCCTGGACTGAAAGGTGTGCATCCCTATCTGATGAAACTTTCCACTTCTGCTGGTTGCAGGTATTAGTGCTCCTCTTGCCTTCCAGGCTTTAACCTGTAGCAGACATCAGCAATGTTGACTTGTAGTAGGCAAATGCAAAAAAACGTACCTTATAGAGAAATAAGGTAAGCACTGAGTGTCATGAGCCACAGCCTGTGTGAGTTTAGCTGTTATAGGGAAAAGGGTAGGACCTACAGGGTAAACAAGAATGCTTATAAGTCAGCAATTTGGACCTTTATATGTACATATATGTATTTGCATGAGTTTTGTAATTTCCTCCCCCCCCCCCCCCCCCCTTTTTTTTTTTTTAAGCTAGCCCAAGGAGCTGCAGGTTTTGCTTACCTTTAAATGTAAACTCCTACTGTTTGCTTCCTAAAAAATCATACATTTAAAGATACAAGTGACATCACGGACAAGCATGTAGTTCCTTACACATAAGCCTCAATTTTATCTCCAGCTGTTACTGGTTTTTATTTCCATTTAGATTTTCAAGCATCCATTCTGCAGATTTCTTTTATACCTGTTTTAGAATGCATTTGTCAGTTTCCATTTTGCTTCTTGTGGTTTGTTTGGTTCGTTTGTTTTTCTTCTCATGCTGGCAGAAGCTCCCTTTCTTTTGCTGGGGCTTCTGCTACAGGCCAGTAACATCTGGGCCATAACCCTCTGGACTCCTGTGGCCATGCCATGTGACAGGACACATAGAGCCTGGGTGTCCTGTGCATCAGTCCTCCCCGAGATCAGATTTCTTCTGTTGATGTTTTGCATTTGTAGATCTGATTCAAATGTTTGGTGTTGTGAATGTACAGCCAGGCTTTATCCTGGATACGGAGCACTGTGGCGTTGTGCATGTATGCAGTAGTTAGGGATTGCATTTGCTTGTGACAGCAGCAGTAATGCTTTTCATTAACTATTTTCTGCAAATCTAATTTCATGATGTCAAGAAGTTACTACTTTCGGCTCACTGACATAACTCAAAAGGTTGCTGTAAAAATGCACAGAGCCTCTTGGTTTTTCAGTAGGTGAATAGGAATAAAATTACGAGCCTTTAAACTAAATAATAATTTTTCCCTTGTAGCTTCAGATCTGTTCAATCAATAATCTTTCTGCTAACTCTGGGGAGAATTTTAGTTGCCTCCATAAAATGTTTTAATTATTTAAAATCATAAAATATAAGTAGGCACAATTTGCTTGGAACTCATTAGGGAAATATATGAATAAGAAGAAAAGATAATGTTTGCTTCTGCATTAATTTAAAGCAGTCTCTAAAATATGAAATCTAATCCTGGAAAGCAGTGACTTATCAGCAATGTTTACTTTTCCTATAATAGGAGTAAATATTAAAGCAGCTAGTTATGTGCTTATCCCTGCAGTATTACACTGAGCCAAAAAGGAAAATAAATAACTTGTCTGAAATCCCACATTAATTTTCCTCTTTTACAGGTTTTATGTTTGTTCATTTCCTTTTTCAAAAGATTGCTTTAAAAATTATTATTATAAAAGAGGTGACTTAGAAACCACCAGTAGATGCAAATGCATAAGACCAATTTGTGTGTGATTAGAATTATGCAGAGGTAATGCTTTATACTTGCAGTGCAAAGCCTTTCATCCCAGTGCAAATCACTGGCACAATATGCAGCAGCAGAGAAAAGCCACTGCCCAGGGGCAAGGCCTGACAGGCCAGAGAACAGAGCAGCTGATGGGTGAGGAGACAATAAAAGGAAGAAATTATTACCTTTAAGTTTTTCCAAGGGAACTTCAGCGCTCACTCTGTCAGGAAATGCTGGTTTGCACCTCTTATGTATGTAAAGAGGGAAGAATTGGCTTTGTCGTTCCCGCTAAGTACTTCTTGTTTGGCATTTCATCAGACATCCCTCCCCAAACGACCCTTCTCATTTTGCTTGTGGCTTTCCACATTTTCATTCGGGGGGGGGGGGGGGGGGGGTGGGATAGTGCTGCCGCTCCTGTGAAAATGAAATGAGTGGTAAAATCAAACGTGCTGCAAACCACCCAGAGTGGATGCAGATTTCTTGTGCGTGGGGAGGTCTTAGGTTATCCAAATGTGTTGGTGTACCCACCCTTTGGAACAGCAGATGGAGCTGCTCAGCATGGTGATATTCCTCATGGAAGTGCAAGGGTGGTGCAGGGATGCAGGAGGCCTTGTGCAGTTTCAGTAGATGGGTTAGATAAAACCAAGCTGTATGCATCTCAACTGCAGGGACGGCACCAGCAAGTCCAGAGGAGGGCCACGAGGATAAGGGGGCTTGAGCATCTTCCATATGAAGACAGACTGAGAAAGCTGGGGCTGTTCAGCCTGGAGAAGAGAAGGCTGCGTGGAGACCTCATAGCAGCCTTCCAGTATCCGAAGGGGGCTTACAAGGATGCTGGAGAGAGACTCTTCATTAGGGACTGTAGTGACAGGACAAGGGGTAACGGGTTAAAACTTAAACAGGGGAAGTTTAGATTGGGTATAAGGAGGAAGTTCTGTACTGTGAGGGTGGTGAGGCCCTGGAACAGGCTGTCCAGGGAAGTTGTGAATGCTCCATCCCTGGCAGTGTTCAAGGCCAGGTTGGATGGAGTGTTAGGTGACATGGTTTAGTGTGTGGCGTCCCTGCCCATGGCAGGGGGGTTGGAACTAGACGATTTTAAGGTCCTTTCCAACCCAAACCGTTCTGTGATTCTATGAGTCCTGACTGTTTCCCACCTGTAGATGTCTCTAAGCTCTTGCTGTCTTTCCTCTGGGTATACCTGAGAGGGCCAGCAAGAAGGGGGAGCATGGCAGCACTGCTGAATGAGTGTCCTCATTTAATCAGCTAGTAGAGATGGAAGGGCTGCTCTGAAACAGTCTTCTGTTCCTTTCCCCATTACCATCCAAATATGAGACAGCACCAGCATAAATGTGACATCTTTGGAGCAGGGACTGGGGTATCTGACCCTAGGACTACATCCTTTCTGGGAGTTACTGCACTAGGAGGATTTTTATTTACTTTAATGCACTATCCTTCAGCTCCATTTGCTTCTAAGCAAGTCCCAGCTGTATGTATGTCACCTGTGTTGGCCTCTCTGGGGTCAATCCTTGCAACGAGAAGAGATGATGGTGTTGCACGAACAGCTGGGCTCCCAGGTCGGCTCCTCTTTAGCAGTGGAAAATCCTGAGCCTCTACAGTGTGAGCAGGAGCTCAAGGCAGGCGTGTTACCTAGCAGGGGTGAGCAGACACACAAGCTCCAGTACATGATCTTGCCATTAGAGAGAGACAAAGACTTGTGCTACATTATTAAGTGGTCCACTCTCAGCACCTAATGAAGGCCTAAATTTCCATTGTCCCCACAAATTCCCAAAAGCTGATTCACCACTTGAATTAAACCATAATTATGTATTATCAGTAGTCACTTTGTAGTAAGGTTGAAGGATTAAATGCAGTTAGTGGTGATGAATTCCAGATGCGCAGGACAGAAGCCTGAAGAGAAGGCCAGCTTCTGAGTAACTACAAGATAGTGTAATGTATTCTAAATATTTGATTCAATTAAGCTTCCTTCTGCTCTTTGTTTCAGCTTACAGATGGCTCATCAATCTATAGTTCAGGGACATATTGCTATTCTTTCTAATGGTAATTAAGCGATCAGGATGGAGGCAGGTTTGATAAAATGCTCACTTTATGCTTTGCATATTTAAAACGGAGCAGAGTCCAAAGCAGGGACAAAATGCTAGCTGGCTGCACATAGCTTCAGCCTCAGGCACACGGCAGGTATTCCTCTAGCACAGGTGATGGGGACTTTGCCAGTTCCCACCATTCAAAGAACAAGAGTTTTTGAATATATGACCTATGATTGTTTATATCTGGTTTTGAATGTTGCTGAACCGTTATTTGGCAGTTTCTTGCAAAATGCTCGTGGTGTTGCCCATTTTTGGCTTGGTTTTGCTAACAGGATTCTTGCAACTTGGAAATTAGTAGCAAAACAGAGTCTGCAATTAATCTTCCAGTCACTTCTGTGTGTTTGGGAAAGGCCATCATGGTACTCTTATGCCAGGGTATGTATTCTGAATAACTTCTGGCTCACTCATGATTGTCAATCTATAGCCTCTGAAAGTAGGAATATTTGAGAGGCTGCTCCAGCTGCTAACATACCCACTTTTTGTTTGTAATACTTACAATTTGTTACCTACTTAAAAAGTAAAATTTCAGTATAGAACATGGCCAGAAGCTTTGCAAGCAAATGTATAATGATCTTGTATATTTCTTTAGTCAGTCCATCTAAGAGCTATTGCAGTCATTAAGACTTTAGTAAGGAGTTATTTCTTTTATGCAGATAAGAAAACTGAGGGACACAAAAGTTTGAAAAAAAGAAATTGGGAAACCTTTATGCCCTATTAAAAAAATCTCATTTGAGGGCCATACGCTCCTTGTCCTGTCCTTCTCCCAGATACAGATTTAACTTTACAGCAGCCAATCCTTAATTCAGCAAAGTACTTAAGCACATCCTGACATGCTCTGCTGAATCAGGGTTTTAAGTCGAAGTGACAGATGTAGAATCAGGATCTCCTTGCTCACCGCCCCACTCTGAAACCATCGTGTAATGCTTCCTTTCTTCATTACTCTACCACTGCAGTATACTACCATGAGCGTCTGAGACAGGTAAAACCTGTGCCTTGAATGTCTGTCCCTTATGCAAACCCAAGCCACCCAGCCGAAATGTCAAAAACATGAGCTGAGTAGTCAGTTGTAACAATGTTGAAACTTGAGTCTCTTTCCTTGTGCCCGGGTAAGGTGAGATTTTTCAACTAGTTTCTTGGACAAATATGTTACAGAATGAATCAGGGTGAAACTAGAGTAATGAATGACACAGCAAATGAAGTTAACTAGGACTTAAGAATACTGAGGAAAAATACTGTGCTAGGGCATGGAGAAAGCATAATTTTGTCACATGCTGCTTAGGGAATGGAATCTCTGCTTGCAGCAATGATTTATATAGCCAGTTAACAGCCGTATTGCATCGTCATGCAGTCATCATTTTCCTTCTGTAGACTTGCCTCCAATGCTCTGTTTGCAGCTTTCTAAGAAACAAGCACTAGCAAGTTGCTTCTTTGGGGGCAGGCGGGAGGGAGAGAAGGAACAGGAAGAATTCTTTTGGTTTCCTCCTTGTCCATTTGTTCTTCCTCATTCTGACTTCAGAAGAATCTACCTGCGCTGTTGCTTAAGTTAAAGAAGCCCAGTCCTTGCACACAAAGGTTTCAGGGAGTGCTCTGTATTGGAAATCCCACTTATCCTTTGACAAGTGTATATTTGAGGCTTGTTGTGTAGTACCCATCAAAGATTACTAGTGACTTTCACTATTTTAGAGAAGGCTCATGATCTCCCTGATGTCATGTACGTTTCATTAAAAATCCCTTTTTTATAATGGCTATTAATATTAGTAAACTCCACTTCCTTTTGATAGTAGGACTGATTATTCTGCTACTCAATAGCCTATTTTAGGATAGAAAACTACTTTGTTGTATTGACTTGCTGGGAACTGTCATTCTACAGAGTGAGATGTTTTTCAATCACCGTCTTACAAAGGCAACAACATAACTTTATTTGCTTTATTGCAATTAGAATAAGAAATTGTAGTGGATCTCAAAATAAGTCTCTCTTCTCGACTTAGCTGTGTTTAGGATCCTGCTGCTCCTAAATTCTACTTTCCCAGACTATGATACCCAGTGGAGTTACAGGTTATAAATGACCATTTTTGATGCTGCCTGCATTTTTCCGTATTATTTGATGCTACTTTTTGTTTCCCATTTGCTGGGCTTCCTTCAGTTACAACTTGAATGCTAATGTGACTCCATCCCCCATTGGGATCATGCTGATATTGACTCGTGCATCTCTGAGAAGCTTTTCATTGAGGTGGTGGATGCTCTGGGTTGCCAAGTCATCCTTTCTTGGGTTTAGCACCTTTCCGTTCCATAGGACCTATTGAAAAAAGACATGTCATGCACCTAATTTGTCCCAGTGTGTTCCATGGGCCACAAAGGTCCTGCTTATTTTCCAGAAATCAGTATTTATTGTGTTTAAGATTTCTAGTCTCAAATATAGTTCTCATAAGCAAGTGGGATTGGGAGTCCACAGATTTGGTTAATTGTACCTCTGCTACAAATTAGAAGCCTAAATGAAAAAGATGTGTTTAAACAATAGGTATTTCTAAAAGCCCCTATTCAGGTGCCACCATAACCCTGAAGGTGCTTCAAGTTTAACATCATTCTTTCTTTCTAGTAAAAATTATTAATTGGTAACTTATTAGTAGTTACTGATTGCAAGTGCTACATTGATCTCGTGTAAGTACTATATATAGTAGAAAATACTATGACAAATCAGACAAATACATTTGTAATATAAATATAAATAATATGAATATATTCTATAATATATTACAAAAAATTTGATAAGTTTCTGCTATCGCAGGCTGTTTATGTACTAACATGTATTTAGCACATTAGTCCTTTCTTTTAAAGGGTTTTATCCCTTGCTTATATTAGTGTTCCATACAGCTTACTTTAGGAATTTATATTGAATTTTAAAGCCTCTGTTGTATAATATAGAACAAACACTGCAATTGGCAACCAAGTTGCAGGTCAGAAATGACGTTACTAAAATCCCACTGTGACTTTCTTTCCCAGAGGCAAAAGCAGTAATGCCGTGTGCTACTATCACTACCACCCCAGTACTTACGTTATCAATAGCTATTATTCCGCCTTTTTTTATGAGGCGCAAACATTTTTCATAGTACTCATTGTAGCTTTCTTTATCCGCATCAATGAAAGCAAAGTCAAAGCTTTCTGCTTCTCCACTGGTCAACAGTTCATCTAGATGAGCAACAAAGTGAGTCATTGCACCCTGGTTAATGCTGTGTGGGAGGAAGTCATCCATTTGTGTCAAAGTTCTCATTTAA